TGGAGGGCCCCCCCCCAACGTCGGCTGAGGGCTGAGGGGCACAGGTATGGGACACGTGGCTGGGAACAGGGCATGCTCCCAACAGCAGAGCCAGCTCTGTGCGAAAGTTTCCCTTCAGCCCTCTTGTGGAAGAAGGCTCACTTTCCACCCCTGAACCGTGTCTCACTTAACTTCCACCCTGTTCCGTCTGTGGTCTGCATTCCCTAATGATTCCTTTATTTCCTTGGAAAACTAAGAAATATCTCCCACAAACTTCTCTCTCTGGCCCATCCCTGTACTGCTGAGTTTTCTATCAAGTCCTTTTTTAAAAAAATGGAGGTGAAATTCACATAACAAAATAAACGGTTTTACAGTGGACGGTTCAGCGGCTTTTCGTACATTCACAGGGTTGTGCAGCCACCACCTCTACCTGGTTCCACAACATTTCCATCCCCCAAAAGAGAACCCTGTGCTCATTAAGTGCTCACCCCCAGCACCCCTGACCCCGAGCCCTTGGAAACCACTGATCTGTCTCTATGGATTTGCTATTCTGGAAAGTTTGCATACATGGAATCATACAACATGTGACCTTTTGTGTCTGTCTTCTTTCAATCAGCGTTTTTTTCAAGGTGCTAATGTTATAATGTATCACTACTTCGTCCCTTTTTATGGCTGAATAGTATTCCATTGTATGGATGGACCAGAGTCTGCTTTTTCCTTCACTCATTGACGAACACAAGTTGATTCCACCCTTTGCCTCTTGAGAATACTGCTGCCATTAGCAGTGATGTACAAATTTTTATTTGCACACTTGTTTTTAATACTTCTGGGTGTATACACGGAGGGCTTGTTTTATAGTCACAGTTTTCTTAACCAGCCCTCCATCACCTGACCTCTGCCTGTCTGCCTCCCAACTCGAGGCACCTGCTGCACCCTCCCCCTGTGCTTTTCCTGTTACTTTGGAAGGTGATCCCTCTCCTCAGGGAGCATAAGGTGGACATGCAGGAAAGAGAGAAAAAGCGAGTTCAGAACTGGAGAGCCCCAGGGAGGAGCACAAAGAGCTCCAGGCCACCGGAGTGGGGGCTTCCTGCAGGAGAGGGAGGCCCTGGCTATGGCCATGCCTGGGACCAATGGTTCCCAGTGGCCCAAAGGGTGTCCCCAGGGGAAAAGTGGATGAAAAGGATTCTTTGGGTCCCAAGGCCACCCCTGACTCACTCCCCATCCCCCCTCCCTCCCCATCTTTCCACCTCATTCCCCACCTCCTACCCCCAACCCTCCCACCTTCAACCTACTCCCCACTCCCTACCCCTATGGACCCCCCCATCCCCCACCTGGCCTTTGATTCCAAGGAGGGAGTCCTCAGGAGTCAGCACTTGCCAATTTAAGAGGACACTTCTAGAAAGAGAGAGTCCCACAAAAATGAGCCACAGGGCTCATGGTGTGAGCAAGTCCCCAGGGCCCCACTGCACAGCTCCCGGGGCACAGATGGAATCCAGAGTCCCAGTGGCTGCCGTGGCCACCAGAGGAAAGCATGGAGGTCTGCACGCTGTCCCTGGCTGTCCTGGAGGCGGTGCAGAGGAACCTGTTCAGTCACCACAGTCCAGCAGCTGCTTGATGGGAACAAGGGACCCCGGTGGGCTGGTGAGTTGGGGGGGGGGGCGCGGCTCAGGCCTAGGAAGCCAGGAAAGAGGTGGGGAGCTCCCAAGAGATTCAGCTCATTGGAAGGCGAAGCTGGCTTTCCCTCCACGCATCACTCAAGCCCTCTCACTGTGGCCTGGCACCCTCCTGGGAACAGGACAGTCTAAATCTGTGAAGGGTCTCTGGATCTGGCTGGAGGGACAGGTCCCAGATGTGTCCACCCTGGGCCTCACAGGGACCAGCCATGGGGACCAGGAGGATCAGGTCTTTCCCCAAAGCACCCCTTATCCTGGGACAAAGCGGGTTCACTGGTGCTGCCTGAGGGTTCCCCCAAGATCCAGACTTCACTCCAGAGCCCATCTCCCTTCCCACACCTGGCCCTGCCCTGCAGCCACTCTTGGGAGCCTGAAAGGGGAGCAAGCAGGGTCAGTCTGCCAGGGCCTTCCAGCCCTGCCTGCTCTGACCACAGGAAGGCTGGCCCAGCCCTGGGAAGAGGGGCCGCCACTGAGGACAGGATTCAGCAGGTCGGTGGCCACAGCTGTGTTCTGAGAATCCCCAGGCTGGTGGGGCCTCCCCCGGGGGAGGGAAGGAGCCAGGCTCCGTGGATGGCAGGAGGAGGACGATCAAGCTACCGGGACTTTCTGGGGCTCCTCCCCAATCTAGAATGAAGATGCACGATAGCAAAGTATCTTGGAGCCAGTGGGAAGGGTGGATCCGGGTCCGATGCCTCCCCTGTCTCCAGCCTGATACAGGGGCCACTCGGGCCCTCAGGGTCTGCTCAAGGTCTCTAGTGCCTGTGTGTGCAACGCTCAGAGTAGAGGACACTGTCCTCACCCTGCTGGACCCCAACCCATACCAACCATGGCTAGAAGGTCTGGAGCTGGGAAAGGACCCCCAAGTTAGAAGCAGCCACCTCCCCAGATGTCTGCAAGCCCCCTCCCAGACACCCAGGGCTGTGAAGAGTCCCCAGCCCCACCCACCCCATCCCAGTCTGTCTGCCCCTTCTCCACTGGGAGGAATAGGAAGAGGGTAATTGGATCAGCATTGCTCACTCCATCTGGAACATTCCAAAATGGAAAACCGACTGAACAGCTGGAGAAGCAATTTAGGGATTTTAATTAAAGGCAGTGACTCTCCCATGGAGCCCCACCTCCAGGCACAGCCAGGAGGACCCCCACATCTGCCCTCAGTGTGTTCTGAGACCCAGCTGGGCACCTGGCGCTGGGCATTGGCTCTTAGGCCCAGTTTCCCCTGGGAGGGGGGGTGAACAGAACAAGCCAGTTCACTCTTTCTCCTCGCTGGTTCCAGAGTCTGCCTTCTGAGTTGAGCATAGCCCTCAAACCAGACAAACTAGTGCCCCCCAACCCCACAGCTCTACATCCAAGAAACTTCAGGAAGGGAGAAGTGGGTCATGGTGGCAGGCTCGGGAAAGGAACTCTAAGTCCCTCTAGGGAGGAAATGAGCCAGAGGGAGAGTATAGCTTCCGGTTCTAAGGCTGCCTCCCTCTCAATCTTCACCTTCTGCAGGGAAAGGCATTCCCGGCAGAGGGAACGGCATATGCAAAGGCTATGAAGTAAGAAAGACCATGGCAGGTGGAAGGAGCTGATGGGGCAGAAGCTTAGAAGCGAGAGGAGCACACAGGCTAGGGGGCGGGGGGGGGGGGGGGCATGCCTCAGAGGGCCTGAACAGCTGCAGTCAGACATCTGGTCTTCATTCTAGAAGCAAAGGGGGTGGGGGAGAAGGTTGGAGTGTTTTGTTTTGTTTTCAAAGAATGAATAAATTGCCTTCTTCATTTTTAAAAAAATAAATTTATTTATTTATTTTTGGCTGCATTGGGTCTTCGTTGCTGCGTGTGGGCTTTCTCTAGTTGCGGTGAGCAGGGGCTACTCTTAGCTGCGGTGCGAGAGCTTCTCGTTGCAGTGGCTTCTCTTTGTTGCGGAGCACGGGCTCTAGGCGTGCGGGCTTCAGTAGTTGTGGTTCGCGGGCTCTACAGCGCAGGCTCAGTAGTTGTGGCGCATGGGCTTAGTTGCTCCGCGGCATGTGGGATCTTCCCAGCCCAGGGCTCTAACCCGTGTCCCCTGCACTGGCAGGCAGATTCCTAACCACTGTGCCACCAGGGAAGCCCCATTGGAGTGTTTTAAAATAATGGGGACTGGTTTACTCTGAAGACACCCCTGTGGCTGCCGTGTGTGCAGAGAGCTCATCGCCAGAGAACAAAAGAGGTGACCTGAAGCCATCCGCTCATGAGATGGTGAAAGTTTGGACACGGTTATGTCCGGGAAGAAGAAGAAACACGTAGGGACCAGGCTGAGAACAAGGCCAGAGATCAGGGGCTGTCCTGCCTCCCCTCCTGTCCCTGCCATCCAGGACAGGCTGCCATTCCATCCCTAAGTGTGTCCCCGGTCCAGGGAGTGGGGACAGAGCTGCCAAGGCCAGTGCTCGCCACCCAGCGGGATTCCGAAGCGGAGCATGACCCCTCCTCACCATCGTTACTGCAGATTGTGCCAGCCTTCCCCCACACCCACATCAGAGGTCCGCAGCAGGGAGGAGGCTGTGGGTACGTCTCCTCGACATCTGCCCACATCTGCCACCACATTCCCACCAGCCCTGCCCCTGGCCTGGCCCATCTGATACAGACCTAAGGCCTGGGGAGCAGGGGTCACGGCCAGGTCCTGCAAGGGCCCAGGGCATGCCAGGCCTGGGCCTAAGGGGCCCTGGAGGTCATTGTCAGGGCATCTGGTGGGCATCTGGCAGACAGCACTGTGGCCAGGAGCAGGTGACAGTCATTACTGAGAGGCCCTGCATTTCTGGGGGGAGATGGATGGACAGGGCACCCCAGCCTGCCTGAGTCTGGCCTAACTTGGTTAAGAGCTGAGCTGGCAGCTGGGCTGCAGCTGGGTGTTCATTCTTGCCCATCCCCAGGGGAGGAAGCTGAATAAACACCACAAAAGTGGGGCATGGAGGGCCTGGGGGAGTGGGCGTGCCCTGCAGTCTGGTGGGTGGGGCCTGTGGTGGGCAGTGCCTGGGTAGGTGACGCATGGTTGTGCAGGGAGCTCCTTGGAGGCTGTTAGAAGAAACACGCTGGGACTTCCCTAGTGGTGCAGTGGATAAGAATCCACCTGCCAATGCAGGGGACACGGGTTCGATCCCTGGGCCAGGAAGATCCCACATGCTGCGGAGCAACTAAGCCCATGCGCCACAACTACTGAGCCTGTGCTGTAGAGCCCATGAGCCACAACTACTGACCATTCGTGCCTAGAGCCTGTGCTCCACAACAAGAGAAGCCACCACAATGAGAAGGCCATGCACCGCAACGAAGAGTAGCCCCCGCTTGATGCAACTTGAGAAAGCCCGCACGCGACAACGAAGACCCAACTCAGTCAAATAATTAACTAATTAATTAATTAAAAAAAAAAGAAAGAAACATCCTGCACACGGGAGTCACCTCATACCCACTGTCCAGAGATTCCACCAGGTTTCCAGGAGGGAGTGTTCAGTGGGCACAGGTACACAGAATTAGCTGAGGTCACGGGTGCAGCCTGAAGAACCGGACAGACACAGCTTTAATCCTGCCCCACCACTCAAGCAACCTGGGCCCTCAGTTTCCCCATTTGGAATATGGGACAACCCAGCTTGGCATCCCAGGGCTGAGAAGAGAGCCTGAGGGTGGTCTCCAGAGTCACCAGGGCTGAGCTGTATGTCACTGAGCAGGCCCCAAACCTCTCTGAGCCTAAGTTGCTCACTTGTGACAGATGGCCAAGTTCACTGCCCACCTCGAGGGATAGACAAGGATTGGGTTTTTAACCACTCCCAGCATGAACAGTGCCCAGTAATGTTAGCTGGTAGGATTATCATCCCCGCAGGAGGTGGCACCTCCAACCCCACCCTCCAACCCTCAAGGGCACGTAGAAGAACACAGATCCAAACTTTATTTTGTAAATATTTCTCTCTGCCCAGCCCTGTGTACAGGGCCTGCTCCGGCTGGGTGACAGGCATAAATTAAGGTCACTGAGCGTCCCCAGGCAGGGCGTGGGTTCCCCAGCCCCATTAGTCCCAGCCGAAGTCCTGGCCGGTCATTTGGTAGAACTTGCGATTAAAGGGTCGGTAGAAGGCCCGCAGGCGCTGGACCATGGCCTCAGGCACACGCGGGTGGGGCCGGCCCTTGGACTTGCCCAGGCAGCGGGGACGGCCGCTGCCCTGGGCCTTCTTGAGGCAGGGGAAGCCCTTGGTGGCGTTGAAGTAGAAGTGCTTGTCTGTGACGACCCGCTTGAGACCCAAGAAGTCCTGCACGTGGCCCAGCTCCCCAGCTGGGTCGCTGACCAGGCGCTCGCCACTAACAAAGAGGAAGTGGGACAACGGGAAGTAACGCAGCCAGTTGTCCAGGTGCTGGGCGTACAGGCCGATGCGCACGGCACTCCAGGCCGTGTCCACGGGGCCCAGGCCTCGGCGGAAGGCCAGGGTGCCGAAGCTGGGCAGGCCCGGTGTCTTGGAGAGCATCTGCGCATAGTCAGAGATGGCCCGGGTCACAGGGTTCCGCACAACCACGATTAGCTTCGTGGCCGGGGACATGCCGTGGATGCGGCGTGGGGCCTCCCGGGTCACAAAATAGCTGGGGGTCTTCTCCATGGTGATCTGCCCATCCAGGGTGCGGGGCATCAGGCTCCTGTGGGAAGGTGGGTGGAGAGGGGGGCATGAGCAGGTACTGGCTCTCCTCCAGTCCTCCCATGCTAGACCGGCCCCCAGGCGCCCGAGACTAACCTCCCCTTCCTCCAGGGAAGCCCCATACCTACAAGACAGGCGAGGCTCCCCATCTCCCCTTCCCCACCAGGCCCACCCATCCTAAGTGTCTGGGTGGGCAGCCTGGGGTGTGGGCCGTGAGGGCGCCCAGCCTCAGCACAGGCTCAAAGTAGGGGCCCATCCTCCAAGGCTATCCACACCCCTCCCAGAGCTTGACTGCACCCCAACCTTGACACTGCTGTGCCTCTCACCCCAGACCCAGCACTCCCAGACTTGCCACCCACAAGGCTCCACCCACCATCCCCACCCCCACAGGCGCCTGCACTGTAATTACCCCAGTCACACTTTCATTAAGTGGCTGATGGTGTCCCCTGAATTAGGCCATTAGTTACTGACAAGTGTCCCCAAAAATGGGCAGCTGCCCCTCCTATCACTCCCTCCCCTGCATGGCGTCTCCCGCCTTTGGTGGCAGCCCTGCTAATTCTCCCCGACCTGGGCCCCCCAGAATGCTGAAAGCCACAGCGCAGCCCAGGACACTGGAGAGGTCATTGAGGCAGCCTGAGGATCTGTCTCAAGACCCCAGCTGCCTGGGTTGCCCAGACCCGGCTTGGAACCCATGGTGCAAGGCTGCAGCTGCAGCATTTCTGAGCAATCCTCTCATTCTGACCAGGGGTGGGGGTTGGGGGGGTGGAGGAACCTTGGAACCATCCCAAGGTTCCGGGGGAGTCGGCTGGTGACAGACCCCTGACAACCCCAAATCTGGGGAAGCCCATCCTAGCACTCCACCCAGGCAGTCCAGGGACCCTGGGTAGCATCCTGAGGCCACCCTGCCAGCCAGGTAGAACAGGGTGGGGAGGGGCAGGGTGCAGCAGCAGGGCCAGCTGAGCAAACAGCTCCAAGGGAGGGCTGGGAACTAGGTCAACAGAGGCAGAGGCTATCAGGCTCTGTGCTAGGGACGGGGTGGGGGGTGTCTCTGTCCCCCATCTCTGAAGGAGCTGCCCCCAATCCCACTGACAGCCCTCAGGACTGGCCCCAGCCAGGAGGGTGACACACAGGACAAAATTCAGGTTTCATCCAGCCTAGTGACCCCCAGACACGAGCTTCTGAGAGACGGTCTCCTCTTCCTGCTCAGGCCAGGTGGACACCCAGGTATACAGGCACACGAGTTGGCATGCTCAGCTTGGAGGGTGCTGATGTCGGGACTGGAGAACGTGCACACATGAGTCCCAGGCATGCCGCCAGCTCCCCTGACACCACCCTCTTGGCTCGGGGGAGTGGGGTGGGCTGCAGGGTCTGCCGGCTGTGGGAGCTGCCCCTCCCCTCAAACTAAGGCCCTGGGCAGAGCTGGTCTACAGAAGTCATGGGAGATAATTCTGCTCCCGCCATGTCCCAGGAGTGATCTGGGACTCCTTCCACCCCACTCACTGCCCCACTTGAGGCTCAGAGATGGAGCAGGAAGTGTTGGGATGGATGCCGGCTGCAGCTGCTGGGAGGCGGTGTTGGCTTGGCTTCTGCTCCCAGGAATCCAGGTGGGAATTGCACCCAGCCCTCCCTGTGAATAAGTTCAAAGAGAACTTGGGTGGGAACAAGGCCAAGGGCTGAGGTTCAGGACTGCAGCCTGGGGTAGCCAGCTCAGGGAACCCCCCTTCCCACAAGAGGGAGGACAAAAGAAGGCGGATCTCCCCGCACTGGACCTCGATGCTGAGACCCACAGACATAAGCCAGTGCCGACAGACGTCATCAGAAGTCACCGCCCTCCCTTCATCACCCTCCTGAGGGAGGGAACCAGCCCTGACTGCTCTGGGACCCTCCTCACCGACCTCTGACACCCCCTTCCCATCCCTTTCCTCCCCCAGGTGCCCAGTGACCCCAGGAGCACCCTCTTTCCTTCTCCAGGCTGGGCTCACCTGGTTCTGAGTATCCCCACCCCTTCCCGCCTGCCTGGGGGGAGGGGCTGCAAGGAAGCGGATAAAAATTAGAGGGACCTTAGCACCCACTGCTATTTTCTCTCCAAGGAAGTCAGAGGAGAGGAAGTCAGGGAGGTGCCCACAGCCCCACCGTGGAAGGGGGATGGGAACGGGGATGGGGGAGGCTGACTTTCCAGGCCCACTCTTGCCACAAACCAGCTTTGAGATCTGAGATCTTTGGGATCAATTACTCAACCTCCCTAGGCCTCAGAAGCCTGTCCCCAGCCAGCCAGGCACAGAGGAGCGGGGGATGGGGGCTTCTTGGGGGTGGGAGAGACTGGGGAGAGGATGAGAGGAACAGGACTCTGACCCCCACACGGCAAACATCTGACAAGTTGCTCTGTGGACACTCCCTCCCTGCTCATCTGGTCTGCATTTCCCTGCGGCTTCCATCCAGCCCCAGGCAACTCTCCCTCCTCTGTCTCAGCCCCACCCCCACCCCCCTATCCTGCACCTCGCCTGGGCCTCATCCAGCGGGGCCTGGGACTCAGCAGAAACCAGCTATGGTTCCTGTCTGGAACAACACGGTACCAGGAGCCAAGGGGGTGGCCCTACCTGTATCCCTCCTGGTCTCTGTGCTTTTCCAAAATACTAAGGTCAAAGTACAGCCCCCACCTGCCCCCAGACAGGGCGCCCCCTTCTGAACTGAGACCTGGGGGTGTTTGTCTGTGTGACCCCAGCACCTGCCAAACAGAAGGTGCTCAATGAGTCAGTGACTAGATGAACAAATGTTGTGTGAGCTTGGGGACACTTGGGGGTCACGGTCCCCAAGAAGGAGGATCCTCAAGAGCCTGAGGGATGAGCTGAGGCCCAGGGAGGGGGACTGGTTTGGCCAAGGTCAACTTTGAGCAGCCCAGCACCCCTGCCAAGGCCAAGGGAAGGGCCAGAGTCACTGCCTGGTCACAGCCCAGTGGGAACAGGTGTCCCAGAAAGTCAACTGGGGGCACTGGCCACTGCTCCTCTTCTCACCGTCCCACACCCCCACCAAGAACAGGCTCTGGAGGCTGGGCCCAGGGTCCTGAGAGCAGACAAGGCCACCAGACCCTCCCTGCCCGGGGGCTGGGCATCCTCTTTGCAGCTGGGGAAACAGGCAGGGGTGGGCATTTTCAGAGGTTCACTGCACACTCACGGCTGGTTGGAAGGACAGTCAGGTTCAGAGGCACAGGTGCCTGTGAGCAACACCATGCCCACGTGCACACACATCAGCGCACAGCCTCGTCCCTTGGAAGGCACGTGGACACACGCACTCCAGAAGCTCAGCCCTGCACCAGCCAGTGAAGGGTCAGCACTAGCCAGCCCCGAGGGACAGCTCCAGATTAAAGGGGCGGAAGCCACGGACCTGACCCTCTGCCTCCTCTGCAGCACCCCTCCCCCCAGTGTGGTGGCTGGGCCGAGGAAGGAGAAAGTCTCCTCTACCAGACTTAAACAGGCTGCTGAATCATCCCACTCCCATCTCCGGCCTCAGGGACACCAATGTCCCAAGAGCCCCTCCCCTGTGCTGAGGATCTGACCCCGAACCTGGGTCCAGCTGGCTTCCTCTGAGGCCCCTCAGGCTCCCCAGACCAGTCCCCCAGAGCTGAAGCATGTGCCCAGGGAGGGCCTGGATAGGCTCTCAGGATCCCTGGCTGTTTGGGAGCCTTTTTAGGTCTAAACCCAATTCTAGACTCTCCTGCAGCCCCTCATTAGCCCAGCTTATGGGGTCAGTAGTGAGCTCTGAAATTTGTACTATGGTTAACAGTGTGTCCTTCCCCTTCTCCATCCTCCTCCTTTCCCCCTCCTCTTCTTCCTCTGCACAGAAGTGAGGAATTAGGGATGCTTTCAGATGCTGAAGCACTGTCAGAGTGGGGTAGTGGTTTCTCCCTGAGTGTTGAGAATGCAGGGATTCAGACAGTCAGGTCCAGGGATGGACTCACCTCCCCCGTCACCACACAACTTCCCTAGACCTCTGACAGCAGCAACCCTTCAGAGTTCATGAGCCAGAACCCCCTGTTCTCATTGGGAACCCTCCAAACCCATAAGTAATTCTGATGCAAAAAAGCAAAGATAACAAGGGTGGGGGCAGGGTGGAATCTGGGTACAGAAAAACTGGTAAACCTGGAGGTAAAAAGTCTCAGTCCTGCCACCCCCAACTCACCACTAATTCACCAGGTGACCTTGAGTAGGGTCTTCTCTGGCCCTTAGGGGCTTGGCCCAAGCTTGGGGATGAGGCTGGTGCTGTGGGGAGTGGGGTGACTCACCCTCCATCTGTAAGCTCTCATTTCCCCGAAGGAAGGGATAGAGCGCTGAAGCAGGCTTGTACCCGACTGACAGAGGCAGAGGGCTGGGCCTCACACTCAACCTTCGGTGCTAACCTCGGCAGGGAGGGGCTGGTGTTTGACCAGCCACCAGGACAGGTTACTTCAGCTGCGGCTGGGTGCTCCCCCACATTCCACCACACCCCCCAAGGCCATACTGGGTGGGAGTCAGGGCAGCTACAGAGCCCCATGACATGAGGCTGGGGTCCCAATTCCCATCCCTGGGCATTGACTCAAAGGCACCCTCCTCCTTTCTAAAGATCAGACTTTCTCCAGACACCCAGGACTATGGAGGATTCCTCTCTCCAGGATCAGGGGTCTTAGGTGTGGGGAATGGGTTGACAGATACTTTCTAGGAGGCTGCAGGGAACCCGGAGACTCTTTCTTAAGGTAACTGACCAGAGTTCAGACACGTTCCCCTCAGGGATGCAGGGGAGAGGGCCAACTGAGCATGAAGCATTTCTAAAGCACCTCAGACCCCACAGGCTCCAAACTACTTCTCGCTGGAATCGCACTCTAGCCCCGAACCAGGGCTTTCCCTGGAGTTTTCAAAGTTTCTGGGAGTCCGTGGCCAGTGACCGACCCTCTTTTCCATAAAACCTGCTGCAGGAGGGCCGCGTCCTCCCGGCCAAGCCTCAGCCCCCACGCAGGCTGGTCTCAGCCCCTGAAGATGCCTGGAGTCCTCGCCCCGCGGGGTCCCCAGTGAGACCCCTGGGGCACACCACGCGGTTTCCCGGAAGGCACCCGCCACGAAGCCGATGGGGCGGACGGGACGAGCGCTCACCGGTACCAGGCGAGGCCGCGCTCGTAGCACCTGTCGAAGAAGTGGGGCTCCGAGCCGAGTGCGCGGACGTCGGGGTGCAGCCGCAGAAACTCCAGCAGGGCGCGCGTGCCGCCCTTCTTCACGCCCACGATAAGCGCCTGCGGGAAGCGCCGGCGGCCCGAGCCACTGGCCACCGGCAGGCCGGACGTTCCGGGGCTGCGGGCTGCGCAGGGCGGCTCGGCGGGCGCGGGGGCTGGCACGGGGATGCGGCCGGCCGGCGGGCAGCGTCCGGGAAGAGCGCAAAGGCAGTAGGCTCCGAGCACCAGAGCGGCGAACAGCAGAGGCGCACGGGGCGCCCGAAGCGTGGCCCCAGGCCCGCCCCCGGCTCCCTGGCTGCCTCCTGCCCCGCCGCCCAGGCCGCCGCTACCTGCCATGGGGCCACACCGCTCCCAGGCCTGGGAGCGGGGGCTGCAGGAGGGCGCACATCCCCGCCCGCGCCGCGCTCAGTCCGCTTGCGCCCGGCTTCTGCTCTGCGCCCCACTGCCCAGTCTTCTGGGAGCCGGGAGGGACCAGTGCTAGGGCGGGCTGCCCCGCCCAGCCCAGAGGCCCCGCCCCGCTTGAACCACTGCTCCACCCGGGACTCGCCGGCACCTACGGGCGCCGCGGCGCGACTCCGAGCCTCAGTGACTAGCCGGACGCGCCCGCTCGGAGACCCCAGGCCCCAGCCCGCTCAGGATGCGGCGGCGGCAGATTGGGACGCAGGACGGTGACAGGACTGAGCTGCTGGCCAAAAGACCCGCTCTTAGAGGGCCGATCGCTGCCCCTCCCTGACGAGGGCCGGCAGATGCGCGGGAGGAACAAGCGGGCCAAGAAGTCGCGTGCACCTGGCCCTAGTGAGCAGAGGGGTTCCGGGAAGGTGGAGGGAAGTCTGCGGCGGGAATGGGGCGCATCTTGCTGATAGTTGGCTTGCCATTGCCATGCGTCAGGGTCACGGGCAGGGCGGTTGAAGAGGACTAGCCAAGTTGATTCCCATTTTAAAGTCTGAGAGACAGGCTCAGGGAGGACAGGCGTCTTTCCCAAGGGCCCAGTGAAATTCAGACCTCAGTCTTCTGACCCTTTTTACCATGTCACACGGTCTGTCTGTGCAGCCTAGTCCACCTGGTGTTGCCCTGGGATGTCAGTGACCCATCTCTGGCACTGGCAAAGCGGCTTCTATTGGAGATGTGAAGGATTCAGGAGACCTGTGCTGGGGAAACTAGAAGGAGGAGCCGGGGTCCTGTCCTAGGAGCTTCCTCTGAGGGGCAGGGAGACTCAGGGGCCACTCCCAGTAATGAGACCTGCTGGGCGCTGGACACTCTGCGGGAGTTTTACACACCCCCAGGCTCACTGAACCCCCAGCCCAGCACAAAGAAGGCAGAGGAGAGCTGGCTGGGAGAAGGTGAGCACAGCCCCAGGTAGAGACAGAATGGAACCCATGTCCTGCCTTTGCCTCTACCCCAGGCTTCCTGGCCTCAGGGTTGGTGCAGGTGGGCATGGGCTCCCCGAAGAGGCCAGCCTTCCTCCAGCCAATGCCCAGAGACTACTGCCCTGGCTTCTGCTGGTTAATGGGCTGTTCCTGAGCCTAATGGTATCTGGATCTAAGGGCAACCTGGAGCACTTCCCCAGGGCAGGGGCCTCCATGACCCACCCAGAGGTAGCCTTGGCCGGAAGAGGGCTCTGCAGAGCCAGTGGGGTGAAGACCACTGACCAGGCCCTCAGCCCAGTTCCCAGACGCCATGCCTGCATCTGCTTGTCAGGGCATGACTCAGCCAGGAGCCCTGTCTGTGGGGTGTTGGCACAGCGCTGTCTGGGGTACATGCCGGTACATGCAGGGTCACAGGAAGTTCTTCTTCTGGTCTAGCTTAAAACGGGATTTGTTCCAGACAGTCTGGTTCTCCTTAGAGCCACCCACTCCACCTGCAGCACCCACCCAGAGCCTCAGCAGCCACCACTCAGGGCTCCAAATTCCAGCTTTAAAACCTGATGGCCCCTCTATCTCCCTGCCCAGCACAGGCACTGGCTAGGCACCCCCTAGCCTTTGCTCATGCTGTTCTCCCTGCTGGGAATGCCTTTTCCTTAGTCCCGCCCCCCACCACACACACACACACACACACACACACACTCACACACACACAGATACACCTTGAGGACTTTCCAGGAAGAACTTACCAAGAACAGCAGGACACCAAACATGCTGGGGGTGGGGGAGTGAGGTCCAGGGACAAGAGTCAGCTTGGCGTTTGGCATCTGATCCCCTCTCTCCACCCACCATCTTGTTCTCAGGTGAGGGGTGGGTGCAAATCTAAGGACATCCAGGATGGCAGCCTTGGGAAGTTTGTTCACCAGTGTACCTTACAGAGCCTGGTACCTGATAGGCACTCAATAGAGACGAGCCAGTGGAAGGATGGGAGTGGAGAGAGAGGCTGAAGAAGGCTTTCTAGAGTAGGTGATTGTCAGGCAAGGAGCAGGACAGCATCCCAGTCGGCTGGGGAAAGGCCCAGCAGCAGAGAGCATAGTGATGGGATGGGGGTGGTGAGGAGGAGGAATGGGGTAGAGCCGAGGCTCATCCCTGGGGAGTGGGTCCCAGCCTCAGCTTTCTCTAGCACATGGCCTCAGGCTCCTACCAGCCTAAACCTCTGGTCCCTAAAATAGAAACCTGACTCTGAAGGAAGAGCTTCATTGAAATGCAATTCCCATAACATGCAATTCGGCCATTTAGTTTCTCAAATTCAATGGTTTTCAGTATATCCACAGTGTTGTACAACCATCACAATAAATTTCAGAACATATTCATCACCCCAAAGAGAAATCCCATACCCATTAGAAGTCACTCCCTGTTCTCCCCCACCCAGTCCCTGGCAACCACTAAGCTACTTTCTGTCTCTGTGAATTTGTCTCTTCTCCACATTTCATATAAGTGGAATCATACATTATGTGGCCTTTAGCAACTGGCTTCTTTCACTCAGCATAGTGTATTCAAGGATCATGTATGTTGTAGTGTGTGTGTGTCAATGCTTCATTCCTTTTTAGGGCTGAATAGTATTCCACTGTATGGATGGATCACATTCTGTTTATCTATTCATCAGTCAATGGACACTTCAGTTTTATCCACCTTTTGGTTATTGAGAATCATGCTGCTGTGAATGTTGATTTACAAGTTCTTTTGTGGACATATGTTTCATTTCTCTTGGGTATATACCTAGGAGTGGAATTGCTGGGTAGACAGTAACTACATTTAGCCTTTTATGAAGAGTCCTTTTGAAGGTTAAATCTGGGAATTTCAGAATCTACATCTCCATGATCCTCACCCCCAGAGCTGCTGCCTTCCCTCCTCCCCAGGATGTCTGAGTTGCTCCTCCACTCTGCCTCTGCCCTGCTTTGCCATCAGAGTCCAACCCCAGCTCCCCGCTGTGTGATCTAGGGACAGTGAATCCCCCTCTCTGAGCCACAAGGTGAAAAGTCACTTTGGGGCCCCAAAAGAGACCAGGCCATGGGGGCACAGGGTGGGTGGCTGTCCCTGTGCCCTGAGAGGGTGGCTCAACTCCTGCCCTGTCTGGTCGCACCTCCTATCAAGAGAAAACAGGTGTCAGCCAGGCGCTTCTGCCCAGCCTGATCTCCCCTGGGGCCCCTCGGCTTTGAGGGCTCCACATGGCCCAATTTCAATTCCCCTTTCACCTTGTCTGGACCCCCATGCAGGATGGCCAGGCAGAGGTTCCTCCTTAGGCCAGCCATCAGACAAGCAAATAAGTCGGGTTTGATGTGGCGGCCAGGCAGGAACAGGGAGAATGTGGGAGAGGAGATGGGCTGAGCTGCACAGGCTGCTGGGTCACATACACATCATCTCTGGGGGAGATGACAAGGGGGGCCAGAGCAGAGGGGATCAGAGAGGGCAGGTCTAGAAAGGGAGTCCTGAGGAGCAAGGTCATGGTGGGAGGAAGGCCCAGCCTGGCCTCACAAATGCATGACCCAGCTACCCAGCTATGTCTGTGTCTCCTTCACAGACTCTAATTATTTCCCTGCGGGTGATTTTGATCCCCATCTATCTCCTCCACCTACCCATGAGCTCTGCAAGGGCAGGGATGGGGTCAGTCTTGAGCCCTGCTGTGGCTCCATGCCTAAGCATGGTGAGTGCTTATGAATGTTTGTTGAGTGACTGAGTAACTGACTCTGTGTGTATGTCTGAGAGAGTCTAGATGTGGACCCCTCTCCCACGCCCCTCTCCGTCTCCTTCCCAGCCTGTCCCCTCCGCAGAGTGGGCACCCCCAGCCTAGGCCCCCACAGCATCGCAGGGTGTGCAAGCAGCTGCCCCACTCTGGAAAATGATTAATAACACCGTGCAGTCCCTCCCTTTGTGGGGGACAGCTGGGGGAGATTTCACACATTCGGGCCTTCCAGAAACTTCCTCCCCTAGAACCACACCCTTACCCCCCAGACCCACTCCCACAGCCTGCTGGGATTCCTCAGCCTGCAAGGGGAGCCGAGGGGAGGGGGCTGCGACCAAGGGCGGGCCCAGCTGTCCTTGATTTGTGTGGGATTTTTCCACTTGAGATACCGGATTTGCCCGAGCACATTGAGGATGCAATTTCCTCCTGGGGAGGGACCCCTAAGAGACGTCTACCCACCTACCCCCAGAGCCCAGTTCAGCCTGGTAGGGAACAAGGGGGCCAGGAGGCCATGGGGAGTGGGGTGGGGGGGGTCGTGCAGCACAGTACAGAGCTGACAGCAAGAACTTTTTAGGCGATGAAGGCTGATTCAATCCCAGCTCTACCCCTCCTAGCAGGTGACCTCGACAGGTATCCAGCCTCTCTGAGCTTCATTTTCCTACTTTATAAAACAAAGATGACACCAGCCCCCACCTCTTTGGGTGCCTGGCTTCTAAGCTCTTTATGATTAGGAGGTAGTGGACATGTGACAGTGACCCTGGCACAAGAAGGGGTGCCCTGAAGCTGCTCCCACCCTGAAAGACCTAAGTACTTCATAATTCATCCTCCTGGGGGTCCAGGCTGGAGAGGAAAGGCCTCCCTAGTCTCAAGGTGTCCAGCCAGTCTGGCTTGCTGGAACCCAGGGTCTTATTCCTGGTGACCAGCTAGATGTGGGGACACCATGGGACACAAGGGTGTGCCAGGGCAGACAATATTTCCAGTATCAGGAAGGACATATGAAGGGCCCCTTGGCAAGGAGTGGGGAGGAGCGAGGGCTTCCCCAGCCACCCTGAGTGGTCACACACATGCATGGAGCCTGCCTAGGGCTCCAGGGTTTGCCAGAAGGAGCCAGACACCTCTCCTGCACAGGGATGGCCCCCAGCTTGCTTCCAGCCACCCTCACTCCTTTCCCTTGGGTCTTCCTGGAGGGCTCAGCACAGACAGAGGGCCGTTTGCCACAGGCCCCTGCTTCTCCAGGAGAGGGCAGGGCTCCGGGTTCTCAGGATGCACAACTGGGCCTGCAAATTGCTTCCCACCCACCAGCCTGGCCCAGCTCAATTTACAACAATCCTTCTTGGCTGGCAGTCCCAGCCCTGCAAAGAGAAGGGCTGGTAACAGCCTTTATACCCAAGGTGAGTCTAAAGGGGGAAGAAAGGAGGGTCAGACAGAAACAGGACTCCCTCTGTCCCCACCCCATCCCCACCTCCTCCAGCTTCACAGCCCCACGCCAGGCCTCTGGGCGTAGGAGCCTCTTGGCATCATGGGGAAGGCTGGGAATCATCTAAGAGGCCCCACATTAAGACACTGGGGCTCTGTGGCCAGGTCTGTCCGCCTGTGCCCTGGTGAGGGTCCCCATGGACTGGAAGCTGACTGTGAGCACGTTCTGTCAGAAGCAAGGGACCCGGCGCAGGCTCAGGAACCCCACGCTCTGCAGAGGGCACACGACCATGGGCGTGTACACACACACACACACACACAGGCAGGAGTGGGGTTCAGAGACCTGCTGCCCGGCCCCAGCCACTGTCCCCCACCCAGTGTGGAGAGCCCCAAGTTTGAACCTCCCTGACACGAGTGACCTACTCACAGGTGCACAGCCAGCACAGCCAGTGAACAGTACCCCCACGGAGGGCCACACTCCATCCCCCCGCAATTCCAGGAGAAACACCCCATGCCCACAGTTGGCAAGACAGACATACAGACAGGTATGCAGCCAGTCTTGTTCAGCTGGGGCTCAGGAAGACCCAGAACCCAGAGCCCAGGGCCGAGCATCTTGGGGCAGGTGCCTGGCACTCTGCCCTGCTCCCCGCCAGACCCCTCCCTAAGCGGCAGGCTTCCTGCTCTGACAACAGGACCTTCAAAATTGACTCCCACCCCCTTCTCAGAGAACAATGACTCCTATACCAGTCAGCGCTGTCCTTCCTCTGACTCTAGCTTCCCTGTCCTCCCCCAACTTCCAGACACACCCCAGGGGCTCCGGTCTCAGAGATGGGGTACAAAAAACCTCACACTCTTGAGACTACGGGACCAAAAAGCCACTGCAGTCGGAGATGGGAGGGGGAGCCCAGGGCCACAGGCAGACTGCATCTCGGGGTGAGGTGGGGCAGAGCCCACAGGGCCCGCCTCGTCTCTGCTCCAGCCTCCGGCAGTGCAGCCACCAAGCCTTTTGCAGCCAAGAAGAGCTTGTAAATGTCCTAGTTGGAGATGAAACATGATAAGACATGAAACCAGGGGCTGAACCATGGATAATCTCCACGGTTTTACAAGGAACAAATCACACCTAGAGACAGGTGCTGGGGGTGCTGAGGGCCTGGGGTGGAAGGAGCTTATAGACAGGTAACCCTCAGTCCCCTCCCCAGCAGCCTCCCCTCCTGTCTGCTTGGGAGGCCCACCAACTGTCTTTCCTGGGCTTCTTGCCCCTAAGCTCCTTAAGCAGAGCCCTAGTGCCCAGGGCCAGGGGAGAGTGACAGG